AAGGTGGCTGGAATTTGAGGCACAGAGCGCCAGAGAAGAAGGACTGCACAGAGAAAGAGCCCCCAGAAACCCGCACAGGACTTGAGGCTTTGGCTGAATACAAAGCTGAGCATGTGACGGTGAGACCCCACAAAGCTGGGGGCAGGGGTGCTGAGGAGCTGTGACCTGAACCATCACCACACCCGCACGTGGCTGGGAGACATCCGAGTTCTAACAAGCAGAGCAGAGAAACCCTGTTAAATACTCTGGCCATTCACCCCAGAAAGGCCATATCTTAAGTGCAGGGCCAAACTTGTCCCAGAGTAAAGGCTATTTTAGACCGTCACCAAAAAAGCTTAAAAAAAAAAAAAGATTTGAGATGATCAAGTTGATCTACAAGTAAAGTAACCACTTGCTAGAACAAAATGCAACACTCTCCAAAGGAAGCTAATGAAAACCAGACACTTAACAACGTAGCATTCATACCATCCAGCATCTAATTAAAATTTATCAAACGTGAAAGGAAGTGTTAAAACATGACATAACTAGGAGAAAAATCAGTCAACAGAAGCAAAAGCAGAGATGACAGAGATGACAGAATTAACATATAGAGATTAAAAATAGCCGTTCTGAATATGTTCAAAGATTTAAAGGAAAACATGAACATAATGAGGTAACATTGAATTTCAAAAGAGAAATTGAAACTATAACAAAACTAAATGGCATGTCTAGAACAGAAAATGATGATATATAAAATGAAAATCCACTGGATGGGCTTAACAGAAGATGTGACCCTGCAAACAACCACGAATTTCTCATCAGAAACAAGGCAGTCCAGAAGGCAATGCAATTACACCTTTACAGTGTTGAAAAGGGAAAATAAACTTTCAACCTAGAATCTTAGACCCATTGAAATAACCTTAAAAATTGAGGTGAAACAAAGATACTTTTGAACAAACAAAAGATGAGATAATTCACTGCCAGAAAATCTGTGGTAAAAGAAATATTTTTCAAAGTTCTTTCAGGATAAAGAAAAATGACAGCAGTTGAAAATCTGGATCTACGAAAAGGAATGACGAGCACCAGAAATCGTAAACATGTGTATAAATATAAAATACCTTTTCTTTCATTCTTTAATTTCTTTAAAAGATAATTGAACTTCTGGTTTCAGGTCTGACATGTAAAGAGTTTGGAAGTCATCACTCCCATCATTACAACAGGAAAAAAGCTGAGCAAATTGAAAATCAATGACTTTCCTTGGACCTGTCAGAGAACCAAGGTTCTGGGACAAACCACTCCACTGAAGCCTGGAGACGGGTGAGTACAGACAATCACAGATCAGCACACCTAGGGCAGAAACTGCTGGAGCCATAGGTTGGTAGGACACGTAGACAGTAACTTTGACAAATTGCGGGGCATAGTACAGACTGTGACGAGAGTGAGAAACTGCTAGGGCTGGGGTGGTAGGGGAGCCCCCACACTTGTATGGGTTTTACTTCTTGGAACACTACCGGGTTCTCACAGTAAAGAGCCAAGAAAAACCCTCATGTTTCTGGCAGGGGGAGGGGAAAAGCAACCATTTTGAAATATGCCCAGAGTGTTCTTCATAACAAAGACCTGCTCCGAGGGAAACCACTTCACCAGAGCCTGATCCCATCGCGGGGAGGGGGGTACACAGCTCCAGCCCCTCTAGTCTTCTCATATCACCTAAGGGGGAGAAAAGGCTGACAGACACTTGTGAATGACACAGCCCAGGGACACTGCCCACGAAAAGACAGAGATTTAATCACAAGATTACAGAATGCTTCCCCTCCCCCTATACATTACCACCACATCAACAGGCCTCCAGCATAATAACAGGGGATGACAGCTGAAACAGCTATAAGGTACAGACTCTCTTTAAGAAGCAGTTTTAGGGAAACTCAGAAATGACAGGGAGATAAGCACAAGGACACTGGGGCAAATTAAAGCCTCTGACACCTCTAGCTCGTCACCACTAAACACAGCCCAGTTCCCAGCCACATTAACACAAAACCTTGTGCTAAAGGCCTATTGATCTCAATTCCTACTACCCAATACATCATGTCTGGCTTTCAACAAAAGTTACAAGGCATGCTAAAAGACAAGAAAAGACACAGTCAGAAGAGACTGAGCCTGCATCAGAATGAGGCTCAGATATCGCAGATGTTGGGACTGTTAGGCAGGGGATTTAAAATAACTATGGTTAGGGGCCAGCCTGGTGGCACAGCGGTTAAGTGTGCGCTGTCCGCTGCAGCAGCCCGGGGTTTGGATCCCCGGCGCACACCAAAGCATCGCTTGTCAAGCCATGCTGTGGTGGCGTCCCATATAAAGTGGAGGAAGATGCACAAGGATGTTAGCCCAGGGCCAGTCTTCCTCAGCAAAAAGAGGAGGATTGGTGACAGATGTTAGCTCAGGGTTGATCTTCCTCAACAAAAAAAAATAAAACAAAATAACTATGGTTACTACATTATGGGCTCTCATGGAAAAAGTAGACAACATGCAAGAACAGATGGGTAATGTAAGGACAGAGATGGAAACAAGAATCAAAGAAAGAGCCAAAAGGAAATGCTAGAAATAAACACACACGCACTGTAACGGAAATGAAGAATGCCTTTTGATAGGCTCATCAGGAGATTGGACATGGCCAAGAAAAGAATCAGGGAGCTGGAATATAAGGCAATACAATTTTCCAAAACTGCAATGCAAAGAGAAAAGAGAATGAAAGAAACAGAAAAGAATATCCAAGAACTGTGGGACAATTTTGACGCACAATTGTCATGCATAAATGAAACACCAGAAGGAGACGTCAGAGAGAACGTAGTAGAAGAAAATCTTGAAGTGATGATGACGGAGAAGTTTCCAAAATTAATGACAGACACCAAACCAAAGATTTGGGAAACTCAGAGAACACAGCAGAATAAATGCCAAAAAAACACATCTAGGCATATTCAAACTGCAGAAAACTGAAGACAAAGAGAAAATCTTGACAGTAGCTAGAGGGGCTGGGGAGACTCCTTTACCTACAGAGGAACAGGGATGAGAGTTACATCCATATTCTCCTCAGAAAGCCTGCAGGCGAGAGAGTGGAGTGAAAGAGTTAAAGTGTTGAAAGAAAAAATCACCAACCTAGAATTCTATGTCCAGTGAAATTATCCTTCAAAAGTGAAGGAGAAATAAAGACTTTCTTGGACAAACAAAAACAGAGGGAATTCATCACTAGCAGACCTTCCTGCAATAAATGTGAAAAGAAATTCTTCAGAAAGAAGGAAAATGATATAAATCAGAAACTCAGATCTACATAAAGAAAGGAAAAGTGTCAGAGAAGAAATAAATGAAGGGAAAAGAAATTTTTTTCTTTTTTTTGCTGGGAAGATTTGCCCTGAGCTAACATCTGTTGCCAATCTTCCTCTTTTTTTTTCCTCTGCAAAGCCCCAGTACATAATTGTATATTCTAGATGTAAGTCCTTCTAGTTCTTCTATGTGAGCCGCTGCAACAGCATGGCTGCTGGCAGATGGGTGGTGTGGTTCCACACCCAGGAACCAAACCTGGGCCTCTGAAGCGGTGAGAGTGCCAAACTTTAACCACTAGGCCATGAGGGCTGGCTCAAGAAAATATTTTAATTTTCTTATTCTTTTTTTTTTTTTTTGTGAGGAAGATCAGCCCTGAGCTAACATCTGATACCAATCCTCCTCTTCTTGCTGAGGAAGATTGGCCCTGGGCTAACATCTGTGCCCATCTTCCTCTACTTTATATGGGACACCGCCACAGCATGGCTCAACAAGCAGTGTGTCAGTGCACGCCCGGGATCCGAACCTGTGAACCCCGGGCCGCTGCAGCAGAGTGCGTGCGCTTAATCGCTTGCGCCAGTGGGCCAGCCCCAAATTTTCTTATTCTTAATTGACGTATGGTTGTTCAAATAAAGAACAGTAACAATGTATTGGGAGAAAATAGTATATGGATATGTGACATGAGTGAGGCAATGTTATAAGGAATGAGAGGATGAGGCTGGGATACTCTGTTATAAGGTCCCTGCACAACCCATGAAGAGGTATAATATTATTTGAGTAGACTTAGATTAATTATAAATGTATATTGCAAACTCTAGTACAACCACTAAACTTTTTTAAAAATGTAATAGATATGATAATACCCTCAAGAAAATTAAATAAGTATAAATCTAAAAAAATATGCCCAGGATCTATATGCAAAAAAACTATAAAACTAATGAAAAATTCAAAGATCTAATAAATGGAGAGATATTCCATGTTCATGGATTGTAAGATTCAATATAGTTGAGATGTCAATTCTTCTCGACTTGATCTATAGATTCAACACAATCCCAATCAAAATTGCAGCAAGTTATTTTGTGGATTATCAACAAACTGACTCCAGAGTTTACATCAAGAGGGAAAAGACCTAGAATAGCCAACATAACAGTGAAGAAGAGGGCTGATACTCTCCAACTTCAAGACTCACTATAAAGCTACAGCCATCAAGACACTGGTTTATAGACACATAGACCAACGGAATAGAACAAAGAGCCCAGAAATAGACCCACACAAATATAGTCAACTGAACTTTGACAAAGGAGCAAAATTAATTCTATGTAAAAAGATAGTCTTTTCAACAAATGATGCTGAACAATTGGACATCCACAAGCAAAAACAAAAGAAAGCAATCTAGACACAGATGTTACTTACACTTTTCACAAAAATTAACTCAAAATGGATCAGAGGCCTAAATATAAAATGTAATACATAAAAATTCTAGAAGAAACATAGGAGAAAATCTACGTGGCCTTGGGTTTGGTGATGAGTTTTTTTACATATAACACCAAATGCACAGTCCATGAAAGAAAAAAATTGATAAATTAGACTTTAAACAATTAAAAACTTCTGCTCTACAAAAGACACTGTTAAGAGAATCAAAAGGCAAGTCGCAGACTATGAGAAAATATTTGCAAATTAAATATGTGATAGGGCGCCGCCGCCGCGCCCAGGTCCCGGGGCCTCCGGAGCCACTGCGCCGCTCTGCAGACCCTCGCCCGCCGCCGCCGCCAAAATGTCTACAGGTGCGCCTGCAGGTTCAAGCGCTGCCTCTGGCAGTAGTCGAAGACTTCAGCAGACGCAAAATCAAGTGGATGAGGTGGTGGACATCATGAGAGTCAATGTGGATAAGGTACTGGAAAGAGATCAGAAGCTCTCTGAGTTAGATGACCATGCAGACGCACTGCAGGCAGGAGCTTCCCAATTTGAAACAAGTGCTGCCAAATTGAAGAGAAAATATTGGTGGAAGAATTGCAAGATGTGGGCCATAGGGATCAGTGTCATGGTCATCATCATCATCATCATCGTCGTGTGGAGTCTTTCTTAATGAACAACCAGTGGAACTCCAGCCTGCTGTTCAAGAAACCTCTTCAAGACTTTGACTTAGAACCTGCTACATTATCAAGCTTACCTACTGTTATATCTAAAATGATTCTTTTCTGTTAGTTAATGTCAAGTTTGATTTCTAGTAAATGTGCCTTTGTTTTTTAATATGCACTCCAAACCAGAAGTGTAGTCAGCCCAGCTCGCATTTTGCACAGTGCCTTTACAAATTTATATAGGGGCTGATGAAGAGGACTTCTTAAGTTCCAGAGTGTTATAACCTAGCGGTAACGTTGTCTGATTAATTGCCATTAATTCCAGTGAAGGGAATTTGTTCCGCATTAGCTGTCCTTGTCAATATGACATTATCTTCAGAACCATAGTTTAAACCTTTCAGATTTCCAATTTGTGCCTTCCAGAAAGAACACTACTGCCTAACACAAATCTGTGGCAATATCAGGCTGTGCCTTATTTTGCTATTTTTCTGATTCCCTGTAAGAGAAACCTATATTGTTTATAAGCACTACTGACTCTTTCGCTGTATTTAAAATAAGATGTTGGTAAAGAGTTTTTGCTCTTACATTAGATATGAAGATGTTTACTTTCTTGTTGTTGTTATATATCACTTGCTAAAAATATTATTTTAATCAGAAATAATAACCTCTTTAAAACATTTTTATAGAACTATGGCTGTGACCAAAGTTTCTATTTTGCCAAAAAGTTAAATGCCGGTAAAATGTCCTTAAGTTTGTTCCTGACAGATAAATTTAGAAAAGTGACAAATGGAACTGAAGGTGCCCTTCAGAATTAAAACTGTGATGGTGTGTGTGAACCTTCTACATCTGGACAGGCCTTTCTTGCCTTTGAAATGCTGGAGGTGGTGTGATTCCCCTTCCAGTTCAGCATTTTCCCCAGGGGTTGGAGAAGGTTTGAGCTAGACTCTGACCATCTCACACCAGTAGACAGTTTTACCCAGCAGTTTGCAGATGTGTCAGCTGTGGACCCCAGTATGTTTCTAATAATTATGTGAGCAACAATTCTGTAGCCTTCAAGTGAGACCTTCTGTGACTGGTCATTATCTGACCCAGTCCCCATAGACTATAACTTTTGGAGTTTGTTTTCAATTTTTATCCATATTCCACTTCCTAAATCTGTCTTCTGAGTTATGCTTTCAGTTAGGCATTGGTCGGGGTGGATGACTCTTTCCACAGAGGACAGCTCATCAGAGCCACACTCTCTCTTCGTTGTCACAGACTGTCTACGGGATGATGCTTTGGAAATAGCTGTTGTCATCTGAGAGACTTTTGTTGGGTACATGAGACTTTCACCATCAGGGCATGTGGCTTAAGGATGGGAGTTCAGGTAGGAATGAAGACAGGCAAGGAGGCACTGAGGGAGACACACAGAGGTTTTACCACTCTGTGGCCCACTGTTACTGGAATACTCTAAAATTCTTCTTCACATGCTAGTATGTGACTTACAAAGCAAAAGAGTTGAGTGCACCAGGACACAGGCTCCATTTCTTTAATAGCTGTGCCCCTGACATCACTGAGAGGAAGTAACGTTGGAGACATGCCTTGCAGTATATGCCCAGCTGTGAGAAGAAAGCAGCCATCAGTGTCGGGACATTAGCCCACTCTCAGCTCAGGGTCTCTGGCCGGGTCTGACTCTGAAACCTTGGTGCTCTCTCCTTGGCCTCGATGCTCAGTCCCATGTAACCCACTGACTCCTGCATTAACCCAGGAATACCTCGCTTGTCTCTGTGCATTTAGCTGGGAACTTGCCCCTATAATGAACTGAATAAAGTGTTTATAAACAAAAAATAAAATAAATAAATAAATAAATAAATAAATAAATAAATATGTGATAAAGGACTTGTATCCAAAAATACATGAGGAACTCTTAAAATTGAACAATAAGAAAACAAATAACCCAATTAAGAAATGGCAAAAGATCTGAACAGTCACCTCATCAAAGAAGATATACATATGAAAAGATGTTCAGCATCACTTGTCATCAGGGAATTACAAATTTAAAAAACAATGAGATAACACTACACAACTATTAGAATACTAGACTAGAAGACTAGAAGAAAAAGCTGACATTACCAAATGCTGTGAGGATGCAGAGCAATGGAAACCTTCATTCATCGCTGGTGGGAATGCAAATTGGTACAGCCACTTGGGAAGACATTTAGCAGTTCCTTACAAAGCTAAACATAGTCTTACAATATGATCCAGCATTCTCACTCCTTGGTATTTACCTAATTGATTTGAAAACATGTCCACACGAAGACCTGCACACAGATGTTGAAAGCAGCTTTATTCATAATTGCCAAAAATTATGAACTCCAAGCCAAGATGTCCTTCAGTAGGTGAATGGGTAAACAAACTGTGGTACATCCATATAATGAAATATTATTCAGCAATAAAAGGAAATAAGATATCAAGCCATGAAAAAAGCTATGGAGGAACCTTAAATGTACATTGCTATGTGAAAGAAGCCCGTCTCAAAAGGCCATGAGATTCCCAGGAAGGAATGCAGGCTGTGACAAGAGAATCTATTATGATGTACAAAACCACCTCACTGAGAGCTGGGGTGAGGTGCTGACCTAAGGCACTCTGGAAATGAATGGAGTCTGCAAGACTAAAGACAAATGGAAATGCACACAAGCACAGTCTCGAGCCAACAAAGTTACTTCCCACAGGGAAAGAGGTTAATGATTCTGATAGAGCTATACGTATGTACTAGAACTGAACAATTAAGTAAAGAGATAGTGGATAGTGGGAGCCAGGTTCCTTACTATTGGAGCAGGAACTTAGAGATAAGCAAGGAGAAGAGGCTAGAATGATCCATATGGTAATGAATTAGAGTTGGAGACATCAGTACGAACTTAGGTTTATCCTAATGTAGACACAGATGGGTGCATATAGAAATACTTATAGATAAGTATATATGTACACATATATATTTCTTTGCTCTGTCAACCAAGAGGGCATTTCAGAAATGACACCCCAGTAGCAGCAAGCACACCAGGACCCAGATCTTGGTTTCTAACACCTTTCTGCAACAAAAGGAACCAGGGGTTCTTGGAGAAATGGTTGATTCTAGGACTGCAGCAGAAAATATACAAAATGAGCCTGGAGCATCTCACAGGGCCAGAAAGTAAGGAAGTGCTTGGGAAAAAATCACACACCTACATTGATGTAAAACCACCCACATTGATGGGGTGTGTTAAAGGAGAAGAGGAGCCAAGTGAGAAAGCTCCTAATGGCCAAAGCTGGAAAAATTTGAGCAAATAAATAAATGAATACCCAAAGTACAAAATAAATATCCATAAGTCCATATTGATATAAATGATTGAAATAAATTAATAAATGGGGCAGAAGAGACAAATCTCCAATGCAGAAGAATTCCAAATAATTCACGTCCCAAAGGAGGGGAGCAAAACTCCCAAACCTTAGGTCTGGCTGCACCTAGAGTCTTCCTTTCAAAGAGGACAGGACGGAAAGGGGGGCAGAGTAACTTGATGGCAGAGGAACCTGACAAACACAGCTCAGCCAGGGTATCAAGGTCAACATCAACAGTCATAAATCACGTTGATAGGATGTGGTTTTGATATGACATGATGAAAATGTCATATCATGCACCTTCCCTCTGTGGTCTTCCTCCCAATACGCATAACTTCAGTCTTATCATAAGGAAACCATGAGACAAACTCCAATAGTGGGGCATCCTACAAAAGACTTGACCAAAACTGCTCTAATCTGTCAAGATAACCAAAAACAAGTAAAATTGCCACAGCCAAGAGGAGCCTAAGGAGACCCGACAACTAAATGCAATGTGGTATCCTGGAAGGAATCCTGGAAAAGAAAAAGAAATTAGGTAAAACCTAAGGAAATCTCAATAAACTATGGACTTTAGTTAATAATATCAATGTAATTCATTAATTATAACAAATATACCATACTACTAACAAGATGTTAACAATAGGGGAAACTGGGTGCGGGGTGTTTGGGAACTCTCTGTACTATCTTCTCAATTTTTCTGTAAATCGAAAAATATTCTGTCTTTTTTTGTGTGTGAGGAAGATCAGCCCTGAGCTAACATCCATGCCAATCCTCCTCTTTTTGCTGAGGAAGACTGGCCCTGGGCTAACATCTGTGCTCATCTTCCTCCACTCCATGTGGGACACCGCCACAGCATGGCCTGACAAGCGGTGCATCAGTGCACGCCCGGGATCCGAACCCGGGCCACCAGCAGCGGAGTGCACGCACCCAACCGCTACGCCACGCGGCCAGCCCCTAAAAAATATTCTTTTAAAAGTCTATTTTAAAAAGAATAATTGGCCAGATTCAACACAATCCTTGTCAGAATCCCAGCTGGCTTCTTTGTAGAAATTGATAAACTGATCCTAAAGTTCATATGGAAACTCAAAGGACCTAGAATAGCCAAAACAATCTTCAAAAAGAAGAAAAAATTTGCAATACTCACACTTTTCCACTTCAAAACTTACTACAAAACTATAGTGATCAAACAGTGTGGTGCTGGTATAGGACAGACCTATAGACCAAAGAGTCAGGACTGAGAGTCCAGGAATAAATCCAAACATCTGCAGCCAATTGTTCTTGACAAGGGTGCCAACACCATTCCATGGGGAGAGAACAGTCTCTTTAACAAATGGCACTGAAATAACTAGACATCCACAAGCAAGAGAGTGAAGTTACCTCCACCTCACGTCGTACACAAAAATTAACTCAAAGAGCATCAAAGACCTAAATAGTAAGAGCCGTCACTAAAAAACTCTTGTAAGGAAACCAAGGTATAAATCGCCGTGATTTTGGATTAGGCAACAGTCTCTTAAAGTGGCACCAAAAGCACAAGTAATGAAAGAAAAAAATGGATAAATTGGACTTAATCAAAATTAGAGTGTTTTGTACTTCAAAAAACACCATCAAAAAAGTGAAAAGACAACCTACAGAATGAAAGAAAAAACTTGCATATCATATATCTGATAAGAGATCTCTATCTGGAATATATAAAAAACTCTTACAACTCAATAATAAGAAGAGAAATAACTCAAGTGAAAAATGGGCCAAGGATATGAGTATACATTTTTCCAAAGCAGATATACAAATGGCCAATAAGCACATAAAAAAACGTTTGACATCACTAGTCAATCAGGGAAATGCAAGTCAAGACCACAATGAAATACCACTTCGCTGTGGTATTTACACATACTAGGATGGCTAGAGTAAAAAATACAGACGACAGGTGTTAGTGAGGATGGGGAGAAATCAGGACTCTCCTCCACTGCTGGAGGGAATGTAAAATGGTGCAGCCACTTTGGATAATACCCTGACAGTTCTTGGAAACGTTAAACAGAAGAATTATCATATGACCCAGCAATTTCAATCCTAGGTATATATCCAAGAGAAACAAAGACACACATCCACACAAAAACTTGTCCATTACTATAGGGAGTAAAATGTGTGACAATATCACGTAGGTTTGGGGGAATTGAGTGATTCTGTTGCGAAGATCTCACCTTAGATGTGAAGTGGTGTCTATTACATTAAGGTAGACTGTGGTAAGTTGAAGAGGCTTGTTGTAAATCCTAGAGCAATTACTGAAAAATGAAAAATCAAAGGGTATAGCTAACAAGCCAACAGAGGAGGTAGAATGAATTATGAAAATACACTCAATTAATACAAAAGAAGGCAGAAAGAGAGGGAAAAAATTACAAAGAACAGATGA